GATCTTCGTTGGAAGATGATGTCGATCTCCTCAAAAGCCTGTCTCCAGTGGTCGATCCAAGCCAAGAAGATCCAACCGAAAAAAGAAGCCCTCGTGAACTGGATTGATCTTCAGTTATTTATAGAGGATTAAGGGGGTGAAACCGCCCCTTAAATCTCTCCTAAGTGGGCGAAAATCCCTCAGAACGTGGGATAACGGTTTTGAGGCCGTTCGGCTTGTGTTTGAACAAGTCAAAACACCCAACCTGGCGTTCAGAACCCAACTTCGCCTCTTAGAATTGAGACGCGAAGTTGGGTGTTGGCTGAACATTGATGAACGCGAGGGTCACTCGTGTTTTGGTTTGTTGTAGCTTAGAAACGCGGGGGTCGGTGTTGGCTGGACCCCTACGAACGCGAGGGTCGCTCACGTTTCGCCTGTTGTAATGCGGGTCCGACTCCAGCGTTTTGATGTTGTAACGCGGGTTCGACCCTGGCGTTTTGATGTTGTGACGCGGGGTTCGACCCTGGCGTTTTGATGTTGAGACGCGGGGTTCGACCCTGGCGTTTTGATGTTGTGACGCGGGGTTCGACCCTGGCGTTTTGATGTTGAAACGCGGGTTTCGACCCTGGCGTTTTGATGTTGTGACGCGGGGTTCGACCCTGGCGTTTTGATGTTGTGACGCGGGGTTCGACTTCGACCTCGGCGTTTTGACGTTGAAACACGGGGAGGACCTCCGCGTCTTGCCTTGCAGAGATTATCACCAAGTAATCTCTTTTTGTCATAGCGTTGCAAAGATCATTGTCTTGTAATCTTCGTCTTGGCTCCTTGAGAATATGAGAGTTGTCAGATTGTAACTCCCGATGTTGATTGTGAAGGCTGTTGAAGTAGAGCTTCCATCAGTTGTCGTGAAGGTCGTCAGATTGTAACCTTCAGCGATCTACGTGAAAGTCTTCAAATTGTAGCCTTCTGGAAGTCGTCAGATTGTAACTTCCATCATCGGTGGTTGATGGGGGATAAGCTATCTATTCTTCAGATTACAGCCTTCTGGAAGTCGTCAGATTGTAACTTCCATCATCGGTGGTTGATGAGGGATAAGCTATCTATTGTGATTTTTAGACAGCCTACAGTGACGACGAAACCTTCCATCAGACGACGGTCCATGGGAGAGGTGTAACGAAACCTAATCCTCTTAGGGATATCCGAATATTCCCTAATCTCTAGCAGCACCCTGCAGTCTCTGAAGTTTGTCTTCGTGGTGACGTCAGCGGAGCAGTACACGCATTGGCCGATGCCCTCGAACAGTGATTGGAGGAACTCCAACTCCCAGAGGTGGTAGGGGAGATTGAAGAGGCGGATCCACCTAAACATGGGGTACGGCAATGCTCTTAGCCTGAGGTCCTCCCGCCAAAGCCTGAATCTGCCCACGAAGGACCCAAGATTTACAGGACTGAGCTGGACGGCTTGATCTAGTAGCTCATCAGAGGGGAATTTAACCATGAACCTATTTATAGATACCAGCTTGATCTCATAGGTCCAATCCCAGACGTCGAAGCGATACCCTAGCATCTCTCTGAGCTCGTCCAAAGATGGCAGACCCACCTCAATAGTGAGGAGAGCGAATGAGCTAAGCTCCTGAATGTTGCGGGCGACGTTATCTGGAACGGGGAGAAATCGTGGGTCCCTGTTTGCTACAAGACCATGAGGACAATCCCGGGAGATATGCCCCGAGCCATGGCAATGTATACACGCGCTATCATCGTGAGACATGATCCTTCTGGTTTCGAAACGAAGGTCGTGTAGTTGTTAATGGGGCTGGGATGGGGAGAAAATGGCGGTGATGTGAAGATTGATGGCTTCGTCGAAAGGTCTTGTCATGGATACAGGGGAAGGGATGAGGGTTAATTAAAGCGTGGTGGCTGGGAATAACGAGGAGACAGATGATAATACTGGCTGTCTTGGAAACATAATCTACTATGGAAGCATTTAATACAGCTAGAAACCCACTAACTGCTTTAGAGATCAACCTTAGCAACCAACCCATAACCTTAACAATAGGGCGCTAACCTTAGCAACCAATCCATAAGCATGACAACCAGCACATAACCTTGACAGCCAGTCCATGATCTTTCATAACAAAACCATAACATCAACAATACGACCCCGTGATCTTCTTAATCCATAAGCCTAACAACAGAGAGCTAAGCATTACAACAAGGAGCTAATGTTAGCTACCATTCCATAAGTTTAACAACAGAAATCTAACCTTAACAACCAATACATAAGCTTGACAACAGAGCACTAACCTTAACAACAGGACTCTAACCTTAGCAACCAACCCATAACCTTAACAATAGGGCGCTAACCTTAGCAACCAATCCATAAGCATGACAACCAGCACATAACCTTGACAGCCAGTCCATGATCTTTAATAACAAAACCATAACATCACCAGAGAGCTAAGCGTTACAACAAGGAGCTAATGTTAGCTACCATTCCATAAGTTTAACAACAGAAATCTAACCTTAACAACCAATACATAAGCTTGACAACAGAGCACTAACCTTAACAACAGGACTCTAACCTTAGCAACCAACCCATAACCTTAACAATAGGGCGCTAACCTTAGCAACCAATCCATAAGCATGACAACCAGCACATAACCTTGACAGCCAGTCCATGATCTTTAATAACAAAACCATAACATCAACAATACGACGACCCCGTGATCTTCTTAATCCATAAGCCTAACAACAGAGAGCTAAGCATTACAACAAGGAGCTAATGTTAGCTACCATTCCATAAGTTTAACAACAGAAATCTAACCTTAACAACCAATACATAAGCTTGACAACAGAGCACTAACCTTAACAACAGGACTCTAACCTTAGCAACCAACCCATAACCTTAACAATAGGGCGCTAACCTTAGCAACCAATCCATAAGCATGACAACCAGCACATAACCTTGACAGCCAGTCCATGATCTTTCATAACAAAACCATAACATCAACAATACGACCCCGTGATCTTCTTAATCCATAAGCCTAACAACAGAGAGCTAAGCATTACAACAAGGAGCTAATGTTAGCTACCATTCCATAAGTTTAACAACGATTCCCTTTCCAGATGGCTTCATCATCAAGTTTTTGGGCGACAAGGACACATTTGTACATAACTATAAGGTGTCAGCAGACGTTGCCGCGCTACTGACGGAAGAGGAGCAAAAAGCTCTTAACCATTTTTGCATTTGTAGATGTAACAAGTAAGTATTTACCTCACATCTCAAGTATTTACGTTTGTTGTTTAGTTTGCGGGTTTGTTGTTATGGTTACGGGTTTTTTTGTTATGGTTATTGATTTGTTGTTTAGGTTAAGGGTTTTTTTGTTATAGTTATTGATTTGTTGTGCAGGTTATGTGGTAGTTGTTAAGGATACGTATTTGATGTTAAGGTTACGTGTTTGTTGTTATGGTTACGGGTTTTTTGTTATGGTTATTGATTTGTTGTTTAGGTTAAGGGTTTTTCGTTATAGTTTTTGATTTGTTCTTGCTGCTAATTGTTAGTTGCTAACTATTATTTTTGTTTTTTTCCCTGTTTGCAGTTTTATTAAAGTGTACGAGGGATCAGCAGGGTCTATTACCCGGCTTGAGATCCTCAATATATTACGCGGTGGGCGACTGGATGATTCAGTAAGATTTTCGATTGGTATTTATTCATTAGCATATTTAACAATACTATTATTAATTACTTGTTGCCAACTTATGATAGCTTGTTGATACGCTGCTTGATTTAGTTCGTGAAAATCAGAGAGCGTCGTCCAGTATAAAATTCGGCGTGGTCCCTGTTTGGTTTAGTGTAAGTTTATGTCTGGCGTGGCGTACTCCTAACTATCAGCACATAATCTATGTTAAAAGGAACCTGATCGGGTTAATTCTTTATTGCAGCACCAGATACATGTGCTGAAACCAGATTACCAAGAGCTGCATGATATCTACATCAAACGCTTGGTCGATGAAGGGTGTACTAACCTCTTAGTTCCCATTGTCCAGGGCGATCATTGGCATCTTCTGGAGTTTGATGTCGAAAATGATATTGCCAGGCATTACGACTCCTTGAAGGAGAGATCTGGACATTGGGACCCTGTGCTCAATATCGTCAAAGCCTTCAACTACATTAAAGCTGGCTTCAATGAGAACCAATTGCGCAGCGTATTCGACCCAATCAAAGTTCCATGCGAGGAGCAAAAGGGATCGTAAGTTTGCCGGAACCCTTGTTGGTATTCATTGTTGGAAACTGGTTGTTAAGGTTACGAATTTGTTGTTATGTTTTGATTGAAAGCAACAATGGTCTCAATGCTTCCTTGTGGTTGTGTGCAGGTATGACTGTGGGATCTATGTCTACCAGTTCGTACAAGCGATTACCGAAGGTAGAGATGTCCTGCACGTCACGCCCGAAGAGCATAACACATGGGTGGTTCGTGCGAAGCTAGCAGCGTACTTACTGATTGAAGGCAGGAAGAGGAAAAAAGAGGTGGGAAAACTTGACGATGATGACGTTGAGATGTAGATTTTTTGTAAATGATATATTACATTTCTTTGGTGTTACTAACAATATACATGTAAATATTAAAAGGTAAATATAAACAATATAAGGTTGATCTGTGAATGATATATTACAATTCTTTGTTGTTAATAGCAATGTACAAGTAACTATTATAAGGTTGATATCAAGGGATAACATTAACAGCAAACCCATGAGTTCAACAACAAAACCGTAACCTCAACAACAAACAGCAAAGCTTAACAACATCGCAAGATTCTGCTAACTTGTGCTTCAAATGCAACCAAACTAAATTCGAAAAGATTTCTGCATTTGTCCGCCAATAGTTTACGATATGCTAGATCCCCAAGGGATAACATTAACAACAAATCCATGAGTTCAATAACAAAACCGTAAACTCATCAACAAACACAAAAGCTTAACAACACACTATATTAGCAGAAACATATTAATAGGTAGTTAATAGAGCGTATCATCATCAAGTTCAGCAAAACATTTGGTAATTTACAATAAAAGACAACCTAGGGGCCGACTGCTCCTCCCCCGCTCCCCTTGCTCGAAGCGCGATCGTGGTAGGAACCCCTATCGCGAGGAAGGGTAGACGGCCCAACACCTTGGGCCCGGAGAAATCGTTGCCAGAGCTCTTTCTCCACCGTCATTTGCCTGCCGTCCCAAGACACTTCAATCAATTCCGGGTCGGCGCGGGAAGGCTGCGGTTGCTGGCTTTGAGGTTGGTCAACGGACATGTCGTTGGGACCTTGCTCATTGTTTGCCTGCTGCTCACGGTCTCCACCCACAAGCTGAGTGACGACGAAACCTTCCATCAGACGACGGTCCATGGGAGAGGTGTAACGAAACCTAATCCTCTTAGGGATATCCGAATATTCCCTAATCTCTAGCAGCACCCTGCAGTCTCTGAAGTTTGTCTTCGTGGTGACGTCAGCGGAGCAGTACACGCATTGGCCGATGCCCTCGAACAGTGATTGGAGGAACTCCAACTCCCAGAGGTGGTAGGGGAGATTGAAGAGGCGGATCCACCTAAACATGGGGTACGGCAATGCTCTTAGCCTGAGGTCCTCCCGCCAAAGCCTGAATCTGCCCACGAAGGACCCAAGATTTACAGGACTGAGCTGGACGGCTTGATCTAGTAGCTCATCAGAGGGGAATTTAACCATGAACCTATTTATAGATACCAGCTTGATCTCATAGGTCCAATCCCAGACGTCGAAGCGATACCCTAGCATCTCTCTGAGCTCGTCCAAAGATGGCAGACCCACCTCAATAGTGAGGAGAGCGAATGAGCTAAGCTCCTGAATGTTGCGGGCGACGTTATCTGGAACGGGGAGAAATCGTGGGTCCCTGTTTGCTACAAGACCATGAGGACAATCCCGGGAGATATGCCCCGAGCCATGGCAATGTATACACGCGCTATCATCGTGAGACATGATCCTTCTGGTCAAAGATGGCAGACCCACCTCAATAGTGAGGAGAGCGAATGAGCTAAGCTCCTGAATGTTGCGGGCGACGTTATCTGGAACGGGGAGAAATCGTGGGTCCCTGTTTGCTACAAGACCATGAGGGCAATCCCGGGAGATATGCCCCAAGCCATGGCAATGTATACACACGCTATCATCGTGAGACATGATCCTTCTGGTTTCGAAACGAAGGTCGTGTAGTTGTTAATGGGACTGGGATGGGGAGAAAATGGCGGTGATGTGAAGATTGATGGCTGCGTCGAAAGGTCTTGTCATGGATACAGGGGAAGGGATGAGGGTTAATTAAAGCGTGGTGGCTGGGAATAACGAGGAGACAGATGATAATACTGGCTGTCTTGGAAACATAATCTACTATGGAAGCATTTAATACAGCTAGAAACCCACTAACTGCTTTAGAGATCAACCTTAGCAACCAACCCATAACCTTAACAATAGGGCGCTAACCTTAGCAACCAATCCATAAGCATGACAACCAGCACATAACCTTGACAGCCAGTCCATGATCTTTAATAACAAAACCATAACATCAACAATACGACCCCGTGATCTTCTTAATCCATAAGCCTAACAACAGAGAGCTAAGCGTTACAACAAGGAGCTAATGTTAGCTACCATTCCATAAGTTTAACAACAGAAATCTAACCTTAACAACCAATCCATAAGCTTGACAACAGAGCACTAACCTTAACAACAGGACTCTAACCTTAGCAACCAACCCATAACCTTAACAATAGGGCGCTAACCTTAGCAACCAATCCATAAGCATGACAACCAGCACATAACCTTGACAGCCAGTCCATGATCTTTAATAACAAAACCATAACATCACCAGAGAGCTAAGCGTTACAACAAGGAGCTAATGTTAGCTACCATTCCATAAGTTTAACAACAGAAATCTAACCTTAACAACCAATACATAAGCTTGACAACAGAGCACTAACCTTAACAACAGGACTCTAACCTTAGCAACCAACCCATAACCTTAACAATAGGGCGCTAACCTTAGCAACCAATCCATAAGCATGACAACCAGCACATAACCTTGACAGCCAGTCCATGATCTTTAATAACAAAACCATAACATCAACAATACGACGACCCCGTGATCTTCTTAATCCATAAGCCTAACAACAGAGAGCTAAGCATTACAACAAGGAGCTAATGTTAGCTACCATTCCATAAGTTTAACAACAGAAATCTAACCTTAACAACCAATACATAAGCTTGACAACAGAGCACTAACCTTAACAACAGGACTCTAACCTTAGCAACCAACCCATAACCTTAACAATAGGGCGCTAACCTTAGCAACCAATCCATAAGCATGACAACCAGCACATAACCTTGACAGCCAGTCCATGATCTTTCATAACAAAACCATAACATCAACAATACGACCCCGTGATCTTCTTAATCCATAAGCCTAACAACAGAGAGCTAAGCATTACAACAAGGAGCTAATGTTAGCTACCATTCCATAAGTTTAACAACAGAAATCTAACCTTAACAACCAATACATAAGCTTGACAACAGAGCACTAACCTTAACAACAGGACTCTAACCTTAGCAACCAACCCATAACCTTAACAATAGGGCGCTAACCTTAGCAACCAATCCATAAGCATGACAACCAGCACATAACCTTGACAGCCAGTCCATGATCTTTAATAACAAAACCATAACATCAACAATACGACGACCCCGTGATCTTCTTAATCCATAAGCCTAACAACAGAGAGCTAAGCATTACAACAAGGAGCTAATGTTAGCTACCATTCCATAAGTTTAACAACAGAAATCTAACCTTAACAACCAATACATAAGCTTGACAACAGAGCACTAACCTTAACAACAGGACTCTAACCTTAGCAACCAACCCATAACCTTAACAATAGGGCGCTAACCTTAGCAACCAATCCATAAGCATGACAACCAGCACATAACCTTGACAGCCAGTCCATGATCTTTCATAACAAAACCATAACATCAACAATACGACCCCGTGATCTTCTTAATCCATAAGCCTAACAACAGAGAGCTAAGCATTACAACAAGGAGCTAATGTTAGCTACCATTCCATAAGTTTAACAACAGAAATCTAACCTTAACAACCAATACATAAGCTTGACAACAGAGCACTAACCTTAACAACAGGACTCTAACCTTAGCAACCAACCCATAACCTTAACAATAGGGCGCTAACCTTAGCAACCAATCCATAAGCATGACAACCAGCACATAACCTTGACAGCCAGTCCATGATCTTTCATAACAAAACCATAACATCAACAATACGACCCCGTGATCTTCTTAATCCATAAGCCTAACAACAGAGAGCTAAGCATTACAACAAGGAGCTAATGTTAGCTACCATTCCATAAGTTTAACAACAGAAATCTAACCTTAACAACCAATACATAAGCTTGACAACAGAGCACTAACCTTAACAACAGGACTCTAACCTTAGCAACCAACCCATAACCTTAACAATAGGGCGCTAACCTTAGCAACCAATCCATAAGCATGACAACCAGCACATAACCTTGACAGCCAGTCCATGATCTTTCATAACAAAACCATAACATCAACAATACGACCCCGTGATCTTCTTAATCCATAAGCCTAACAACAGAGAGCTAAGCATTACAACAAGGAGCTAATGTTAGCTACCATTCCATAAGTTTAACAACAGAAATCTAACCTTAACAACCAATACATAAGCTTGACAACAGAGCACTAACCTTAACAACAGGACTCTAACCTTAGCAACCAACCCATAACCTTAACAATAGGGCGCTAACCTTAGCAACCAATCCATAAGCATGACAACCAGCACATAACCTTGACAGCCAGTCCATGATCTTTCATAACAAAACCATAACATCAACAATACGACCCCGTGATCTTCTTAATCCATAAGCCTAACAACAGAGAGCTAAGCATTACAACAAGGAGCTAATGTTAGCTACCATTCCATAAGTTTAACAACAGAAATCTAACCTTAACAACCAATACATAAGCTTGACAACAGAGCACTAACCTTAACAACAGGACTCTAACCTTAGCAACCAACCCATAACCTTAACAATAGGGCGCTAACCTTAGCAACCAATCCATAAGCATGACAACCAGCACATAACCTTGACAGCCAGTCCATGATCTTTCATAACAAAACCATAACATCAACAATACGACCCCGTGATCTTCTTAATCCATAAGCCTAACAACAGAGAGCTAAGCATTACAACAAGGAGCTAATGTTAGCTACCATTCCATAAGTTTAACAACAGAAATCTAACCTTAACAACCAATACATAAGCTTGACAACAGAGCACTAACCTTAACAACAGGACTCTAACCTTAGCAACCAACCCATAACCTTAACAATAGGGCGCTAACCTTAGCAACCAATCCATAAGCATGACAACCAGCACATAACCTTGACAGCCAGTCCATGATCTTTCATAACAAAACCATAACATCAACAATACGACCCCGTGATCTTCTTAATCCATAAGCCTAACAACAGAGAGCTAAGCATTACAACAAGGAGCTAATGTTAGCTACCATTCCATAAGTTTAACAACAGAAATCTAACCTTAACAACCAATACATAAGCTTGACAACAGAGCACTAACCTTAACAACAGGACTCTAACCTTAGCAACCAACCCATAACCTTAACAATAGGGCGCTAACCTTAGCAACCAATCCATAAGCATGACAACCAGCACATAACCTTGACAGCCAGTCCATGATCTTTCATAACAAAACCATAACATCAACAATACGACCCCGTGATCTTCTTAATCCATAAGCCTAACAACAGAGAGCTAAGCATTACAACAAGGAGCTAATGTTAGCTACCATTCCATAAGTTTAACAACAGAAATCTAACCTTAACAACCAATACATAAGCTTGACAACAGAGCACTAACCTTAACAACAGGACTCTAACCTTAGCAACCAACCCATAACCTTAACAATAGGGCGCTAACCTTAGCAACCAATCCATAAGCATGACAACCAGCACATAACCTTGACAGCCAGTCCATGATCTTTCATAACAAAACCATAACATCAACAATACGACCCCGTGATCTTCTTAATCCATAAGCCTAACAACAGAGAGCTAAGCATTACAACAAGGAGCTAATGTTAGCTACCATTCCATAAGTTTAACAACAGAAATCTAACCTTAACAACCAATACATAAGCTTGACAACAGAGCACTAACCTTAACAACAGGACTCTAACCTTAGCAACCAACCCATAACCTTAACAATAGGGCGCTAACCTTAGCAACCAATCCATAAGCATGACAACCAGCACATAACCTTGACAGCCAGTCCATGATCTTTCATAACAAAACCATAACATCAACAATACGACCCCGTGATCTTCTTAATCCATAAGCCTAACAACAGAGAGCTAAGCATTACAACAAGGAGCTAATGTTAGCTACCATTCCATAAGTTTAACAACAGAAATCTAACCTTAACAACCAATACATAAGCTTGACAACAGAGCACTAACCTTAACAACAGGACTCTAACCTTAGCAACCAACCCATAACCTTAACAATAGGGCGCTAACCTTAGCAACCAATCCATAAGCATGACAACCAGCACATAACCTTGACAGCCAGTCCATGATCTTTCATAACAAAACCATAACATCAACAATACGACCCCGTGATCTTCTTAATCCATAAGCCTAACAACAGAGAGCTAAGCATTACAACAAGGAGCTAATGTTAGCTACCATTCCATAAGTTTAACAACAGAAATCTAACCTTAACAACCAATACATAAGCTTGACAACAGAGCACTAACCTTAACAACAGGACTCTAACCTTAGCAACCAACCCATAACCTTAACAATAGGGCGCTAACCTTAGCAACCAATCCATAAGCATGACAACCAGCACATAACCTTGACAGCCAGTCCATGATCTTTCATAACAAAACCATAACATCAACAATACGACCCCGTGATCTTCTTAATCCATAAGCCTAACAACAGAGAGCTAAGCATTACAACAAGGAGCTAATGTTAGCTACCATTCCATAAG